TGACTGTATTCATAGCCTGAGTGAAAGAACTGGGATAACCAACCATGGAAAAACAAAACAAAACAAAAACCTAGGGGCAGGAAGGCAGGCTATAAAATAGTATTTTGCCTTTCTGCACCAAGTTTTAATAGAGATCAGAACATTTTTTAAAAGTAGGCAAGTCTGACCCCGTTTTGAACATTATTCTTGAAGTCCTTAGAAGAAACTGGTGATGGTCTCTGTAGAGCACAAAATATATACTTTTTAATAGGTTTGTTGCTCACATGACCTGGCTCCTCATGCTGATGGTTTCCATTTTATTATGGGAGATATTGTGGTGTGGTTCTTAAGAGGTCATTTGTGCTTCCTCTACTTGTATCTATTTTGTAATTAGAGACCTTCAGACTCCAGAGAAACTATTCCAGCACCATTTCTCTGCAGTAAATTACAACCAAATAACAAAATGTTTTAAACTCTCAAAGGCTGTAACTAAATGCAGCCAGCATTCGCCTACTTTCTGAATTACTGCAGGACAGCCAAATTCTCTGTGGTGCCTCAGAAGATCAAGGGCACTTACTCATAAGTGAACACGCATGCTTACTACACTGTAGGTGCATTGTATTGGGAATAGTGCTGTCCACATGTTGAGATGGTGAATACCTAAAACTAAGCCAATAGTTCCTGTGGCTGAAGTCCCTTCCTTGAGAGCATAGAGTCATTTCATAGTACAGGCATAAACTACATTGGCTTTTTTTTTTTTTGGTGTGTCTTGAATGCCAGATGAGTGTCTGTATTTACAAAGGACCATGAAACAAACTGTGAGTGGAACTCCACTGTTAGTAAGCTACTGCTGCCAAGGGCACAGAGCCTAAAAAGGTCTGTTATTGAGGGCCAGCACAGGGTAGCTGCTGTGAAGACCTGTCATCATTTGATGTTTCTTAACAGCTTTTAAGTTCTGTAGTAAACATGATGACTACTTCAAAACCAGAGCAGCAGTGGAGTGCCAAATGCAGGTTCTCCTCGGAGGTCTTGGGCAGTAACAACATTTCTGACTGTGTTAGCTGGATCTGAGAAGCTGTTCAGTGAATTTCTGAGGTAGTCCAACATCTTCTAGCGTGACACCCTGGCTTCATTTCTTTGTAGTCCTGACTCATCTTTGATTGCTCAAGCTGAAAACTTGTAAACTGTCTTTTAGAAAATCTCAGCCAAATTGCTATACCATTTTAAAGTGCAAAACAAGGAAAATCCATTGTATTACCCATGTTAAAAATATAAAATATTCTGGAATTTGTTCTAAGAAGTCCTGACATCTTTGTGGCTCAGAGGAAAAAAAAAAAAAAAAACAAACAGAAATTTGGAAGTGCATCCTCTGCATTGGCAATGGTTTTTTACCTTGAAGAACACCTGGTCATGTTGTAGCCCTCTGAAAAATCACACTAATTTAATGAAGACTCCTTTATCAGCAAAAGCCTTCATCACTGATCATGGTCCAACTCCTGTGCATGACTGGACTTTGAGTGCACATCCCTTACCAAACAACCAAAGGTACCCCATGACCCTCCAACTCCCATGTTCCACTAGGAGTGCAGACCCTGCCATCTGAGCAGGTTCATGCAGACTTCCCCCACAATGCCTGCTTAGCCAGAAGATCAGGAAAAGGGGCTGGGATAGGGCAGTGTAAATCAACAGTAAGGAGGAAACCTCCCTGCACTGCTCTGGTTGATTTTCCTGCTGGCAGGTGGGTAGAGAGCAGGAGGAAGCTGGTATGGCTGCTGAGGGGAGAGTATAACCCACCAGGAGGAAATCCGAGACAAAGAGCTTGGAGAAACACAAGATCAGTAACTGTGAGTGAGGATGCGGAGGAAGGACTTGCTGAGCTAGGAGACTGGTGAAAGAAGCTGATGTGGGTGAGATGAGGTCTGGGATTAGCTGGACGAAGGCGAGAGAAGATGGAGTGTTGCTGGGGCTGGTGGGGACCAGGAGAAACAGAGCTGAAAGGACTTGGAGTGTGGAGAGGGAAGGAGGAGTGAGTAGATGGATGGTGACAGAAATGGTGTGGAGCAGAAACAGTGAGCCAAGGAGAGGATAGGACAGCTGATGTTGGATCAAAAGACAAGAGCTGGGTTTTGGTTTCAGCAGAGGAAAAGGAATGAGGCATGGATGGACAAGCAGAGGTGGGAGGAGAGAGAGGGAAAAGAAAATAGATGGCAGAAGTTAGAACTAACATCTAGTTCTGTAACCCTAGCTCTGACTGTAATACGGGAGCAAAGAGGCCAACTGAAAGTTGGGTGAGCAACCTGCCTTCTGGTACTCCCAAACACTTGAAGTGCCTACTTACCCATAATGCTGTCCATTTTAGGCCTGTTAAGGTGTGTATGTCTGCCACATGGAACATCAAGTGGGCAGATATACATGAACGTAAAAGTGTAGTCTTCCAAGAGATTATACAATACAAAGGTTGAAACTCTAGCACCATTTTTTTCCTCCACTTACATTTGACATCATGTGTATCATAAAACATCAATCTAAGTCCTGATTACTGCAGGGTCTTTGAGACAAGTTGAGTCATTTGGGTTGAACTGTCTGAGAAACTGAAATCTCTGGAAGATTTTAACCCCCCACGGCTAGGAAGGTAAAGCTGCTGTAGTTTGTCTCAGAAACAGGGGTCTTCAGGATTTATTTCCTGCAAAGCTGAGAATTCAAAAAACACTTGCATTCAGCTTTGCTGAGTTAACGCCAACAGTCTGCAGCAGTAACTTTCAAACCACAGTCTGTGAACCACAGGATCCATAGACAACTTTCGTAAGGCCTGGGTAAAGGTCTTTAAGAAAAACAGGACTTTTGCTTAAATTTGCTACAATCACAAATTTTATATAGAAAAATATACACAAATATATAGAAACTAGGAAAAAACTGCAAGCCCTTAACGGACAGTGTAAAGATATGGTGGAGACTGGATGCACTTCAAAATCAGGCCTCCTTTCGCAAAGTGGCCAGTTCTGTGGAGCCAAGGTTTAGCATTTGGGTGTATGGTTTTGTTTTATGCTCTTTGGGCCCCTGTCTGCTGAGGATCATGCTTTCTGACAAAGATAAATGGCCTCTGCCAACCGTAGCTTCAGGTTTTAGTTCCAGCTGGGATATGCTGTTAATCCTGAGATACAAAATCGTCTTCTGAATATATTGCAGTTAACTTCAGTTGTATAAATCCAAGCATTAGCTGGATACTATAAATAGGCAGGATGTGCAAGGAGGCCAAGTTGAAAATGTGCAGAAACCAGAACTTTTTTCTTTAATGCAGCCCCAAAGTTGTGCTACGTTTCATGATGTATAATATTTTTCATCTGAAAAGGATGTATGTATGTATGCATGTACTTTGTGGCTGTAGTAATTAACTGGACATAAGGAAGCATGAATTTCATGCTTCAGAGAAGTGTATGGGGGAAGATGGGTAAGTTTTTCTCAAGTTTCCTTCCTTTTTGTGCTTTCTTGGAGGTAGTTTTCTGCAGGATTGGGTAGAGAGCAGAAATACATCTGGTTTATATTATATGATGGCTGTACTTTGGCAATGGAAGAAGATGGCACTTAAAAAAAAGGAAAGAACAATAAAAAAGAAAAGCTTGGCAACTACAGAATGGAGCAACAATTACGAGAACTATCCTAAAATTCCCAGGATTTGTAATTTATTTTTCCACGCTTGCATTTTTCTGATGTTGCTGATGTTAAAGGAGTGAGACAGAGGAAATTCAGTAGGATTTTAAAAAGTACAGATATCTCCATGAAACAATCTCCCCCATAGCAGCTGCTGTGATTAAGGAGAGGGTAGTAGTGAAAGGGATAGGAAGCAGGGCTAACATGTTCACTTAAAAAAAAGTGACAGATCATAATTTTTTTCTGTTTTCTTCAGCCAGTGGCTGTGAAGTAACGAAGGTGGTCTCCCCCTTAACTGCAATTATCTATGTGTATAAGGCAGAAGCAAAATTGATGAAGATATTTTTCAGAAACAGAGCCATGTGAGGCATCTTTGTGGTGGGAGAGGGGAAAAGTTGTTCAAGCAATGCAACAGTACCAAGTGATGTGTCACCTACTGCAGTTTCCATTTTTTTCTTTCCTTTATATATTCACCTGAGGAAACACCTTTTTTTTCCCCCTCACATTAACATAAGGTGGTCCCAAAGTACAAAGAGCTGAGACTCTATCATGTGGTAGATGTTTGCACCTTTGAGTAAAGTTGGTGGGAGCCAAAGATACTGAGCATCTGTCTGTTTTTGAATGAGACTACAGGGTATGACATGTGAGCACCTTCCAAGAGTGTAGTAAGTGATGCATCCCCTGGGGCTGCTCTTCATATCCTCTCATTAGGAGAGCGTAGTGCTTCAGCCTTTGCAGCGTTGGGGGCTGGAAATGTTGGGAACTATGCTTTCCCTGCAGCAGGGTCTGAGCTATATGACAGTACCCCCGAGTTGTTCAGCAGCTTAGCTGACTTGAAATAGAGCACTGAAACAAAATATGTTTTGAGTGATTTTTAAGTAAAAACTAATGTGAAAATGTGGGAGTCTGAACCAATGTAAACACATTAAATTTAAAACGATTTTCAAACGCAGTAAAGAAAAAAATAGTGTTCCTGCCCTTGAAATTCCTAAAGGACACATTTTTCCTTCTGAGTCATGATTTAATTAGATTATATTTTATTAGACATTTTTTACAAATTTTAAAATACTGCTATTATACATGCACAAAGGAAAATCAGTTTGAACAATTGTATGTAGGGATTCATTGAAGTCAACCACAAAACAGGAACATTTTATGTCAGTTATCAATGTACTCATTATGTATATCTAAAGTGCATTATGTTACCAAAAATATAGAAAGTCAGCAGCACCAAGATATGTTCACAAAATAAATACACCAGTCAATAAAAATAAATTATGGTAAATGTGACAATAATAATTGTCTTAGCCTTAGCAAAAAAAAAAAAAAAAAAAAAGGAAAATTCACAATAACCAAATGTGCAGTTTCAGAGAGCAATGGGGGAAAAAGGTTTTATTCTGAGCATTTACAATATTTACAGGTAATAAATATTTTAATACTTCCCATATGTTCACTATTACAGAATACTGCAATATGTCTTCCAAAAATATCTTGCTGAAAATGTCAGCGCCTCCTGCAAAGAAAAAAAGAACAGAAAAAATAGAAAAATTAATTTTCAGTTCAAATACATGGACATAAAACTAATAACACAAGTGCCACAGACTCTAACAGGTATGCCTTGCTAGTAAATACTTGCAATAGTAGGGTCTCTTTAACAATGCTACAGTTTTAGACATCTTTTCAAGACCTCTGCTATATTTTCTTCACTTCTTTCTGAGTGCAACTCAGCTAGCAGTATGAAGACCTGCAGTTTGTCATGACACTGAGGCCATCTATTCCCCTATATTGTACTCTCAGAGATACAGGAAGGGGCTTTAGTTTTTTTTAAAGACTATGCAAGAAGATTGCTGAGTGCTACAGCTAGAAAAATTGTATCAACCTATAATAAATGTACCAAGTGCTAAAAAGAAAATAATACAGTTGGAGAAATGAGAAATTTGTTCTGAAGACAAGAATAAGAAAGCCCTTATTGAACACTGTGTCATCATGTCCCTGCTGTGTTAACCGCTTGAGTGTGACGCCAGGCTTCTGATTAAAATAGTCCCACAGGATTTACTTGCTCTGTCTTTCCCACTGATAGACCACCTGTTAGACAAAGGTCTGTTCATCTTAGAGGTATATATTTCTGTGGTGTCATGTGCATGAGTATATGCAGTCCTTACGCAGTAAAGGCTGCCTAGGTCTTGAAGTGAACAGACCCTTGATAGCGTGTCTCTAAGTGCTTGAATGAATGAAAGTCTATAGTCCTGAAACTTTCCCTTTGCAAGCCAGAGCTTGCTCCTGAAAGAAAATGAGCATCTTGTCATGTTAAGCTCTGACTCCTGCTGCATTCAGTCCAAGCTGAAGCAGTCAGCTGTGCACAGTCCTAAGATCTGGGAGTTTTCTAAGGGATGCTGGAAGCCTGGTGTGAGTTCTCTACTCCTCCCTCCCTTGTGAAGGCGTGAGAACAAAAGCAGAGCCTGCTTCTGTTCTGTCAGTATATTACTTATACTACAATATTGTTTTAAGTTACTTCTTAGCGGTACTGCAGGAGGGCTTGGGCTTGAAGGGTTGGGCTTTTTTCCCTCCTGTCCCTGTGAACAGCACATTTCTGTAATGCACATTAGTTTCCTGTGAAACAGCTATAGGTGGAATGCAAAGCTGTAGGATGGAGCAGGATTCACACTGTTGCTGGACTGATCACCAAAGCTGCAGGTAGCACTGCACATGGCATACATGTGTGGGCATGAGACACAAAAAAAATCAAATCCTTGAGAGTTTAAGAAGGGGGGTTTTATGTGCACGTTGAAAGTGAGACTACATTTTACATCAGGGAGTTTACTCATTTGAAAGGTTTCTAAGGAAATTAGGTAATAACAGCTTAATTGAATGGGAATAGGAATATAGCTGGAATGTCCATGAGAAAGAATTTACTAAGTGCCTGGAATGGAAACGCTAGCATGAAGCTCCTTAATAATTAACTAGTAATATTAGGGTGTATTCAGGCTATATTACAATATGTATAATAATGGCACACAATTCATACAGCGTGACTGTACATGTGTGTCTGCACTACACAGGCCTATTTTTAAGATGGTGACATTTTCAATTTGGCTTGGATTTTACGCTTTGTTTTAGAGTTTAAGCTAAGCCACATCTTGACAATGGGCTCTGTATTAATCACTACTTACTTGCAAGCTGCTTTCTGTGATTTGATCCCAGATTTTGCAAGATCAGCTTCTTTTAACAGATACTTCCCATAGTAAGTCAAAAGATTTAGAGAACACATTATTTTTGATCTTTTTTCTGACCTAAACCAAAAATTTTGGGATCAAGATCAGGCACATGGATTTTAACTCAGTGTGTTGAGCAGAAAAGCAGCACAAAGATACAGTGAAAAATATACTTAAAGTTTATCTTTGCAATTTCTTGATATTTACCCTGCTGCGTTACGCATATCCACTTACTCACTGTAAAGTTATGATGCTTCTCCTAAGCTGCAGCTAGCCTTAGGGGTGCTACAAAAGCAGCTTCTGCTGGTGTGGCATATAGAAATCCTGTCTGCACACACTTTCCTTGCCCTTCACCAGCAGGTAGAGTAGAAGTTCCTAATACAGCTTAGTACAAGTGAGGGATCAACCTCACTCAGATGTGGTCATCGCTCCATCTAAAATGTGCTTGCCCACCTTGTGCCAACAACCACGTCGACAACTGCACTGAACCTGACTCTCCCTATCTAAAGTATATGTCAGGGAGTTGGGTCTTGCTTTCTAGAAATTACATCTTTTGCCAGCCTACTGGGATATCTACAAGCTCGTATACTAACACTTTCTTAAGAGCTGACCCAGCACATTATGCCCTGTACTTGTGAAGAAGGGATTTCATTTTCCTGTTTTATGGCTTCTCTTTGTTTAATCATCTTCAATTAAGTATCTAAAATATAGGTCTTCTTGCCCTGGAGAAATACTGCATCTTGGGCAATAATATCAGTAAGGTAAAGCTGGACTGCCTTCAGCCATCCAACCATACTTGAAACAGGAAGGCTGAACCAGGAAAATCAACAGGGTTGTACCTGCAATTCTTTTACATCTTCCACTGGCTATACAAGCAAAGACAGAGTGGTAAGAAAAAGAAATAACAGTTGAAATGCCCTAGGATGTTTTTTCTGTACATTCAAGATTTCTATGTGCTGAAGACAGACGTTATTTATGGGTCACCACAATTCCTTAACATCTGTTGAAACATCAGGCATCTCCTGACGGAGTCCCAAAGCATGCCCTTCCTAAGGCACTGAGGCAAACCTGCTTCTCTTACTTCACTACTGACTGCTACAGCCACACTAACTGGTTTGTCTGGGACACTGAATGCCTAGCCCCAAATGCTGATAACTCCTGTAGATGCCAGCAGAATTTGAGGCGATGGAGCACATTGCAAACTGTGGACTGTAAAACTTAACCCAAGACTGGATTTTAGTAAATCCCACAGCTGGCATGTCTTTCCATGTTCTCAAAAAAAGGGATTTATTGTGAACAAGTGACACTCCTTTTATGTCTCTATTCTGCTGAAGTGAAGGGGAGAAGAAGAGAAAAGGGTGGGGGTTTTGCTGTTGAAAATGCAAACATTTGAGGAGAACTGAGGAGCAGACTCCTTGACTTTGCAAGTGTGCAGACTTCCACTCAAGCTGAGAAGACTGCAGGCAGATGAATCACTTGGGGCACCTAGGCTCAAGTCTCCAGCTCACCATTGCCTTGAAAACCCTTCATTGTCATACATGAAGGAAGCACGTCTCTCTCCAAAAGCAATGCTCAACATTTTTCAGCAGCAACGTAATTGTTTCACAAGCTGGCAAAAAGATGGAGCTGAATTAAAAGGTCCTAATGGCAGGGAAAATTTTATGGTGAAAGGCTGGTCTGCGTTGTTTGCAGATATTACTAAGAGAGAAATTTTCCATGTTCTCCCCTAAGGTTAAACAGTAAAATGAAAAACTGTAAAGTAAGGGTAGGAGAGTTGCCAAAAAGGGGAGGTGTTGAGAGGGAGGAAAGAAAACTTCACCATTTTATAGATGCAGAGCCTTAAATAAAACTCAAAGCTTTCAATCTGCTGAGGCCCAAGTATGGGACCAAGATCTGACGTAAGAGACACTATGGTTAAAACAAGAAAGGAAATTTTAATGGTTATGATGTGCTTTCTTTTTGTAGAAATAACTTTGCTTACTACTCACTCAACTTCAGGAAGCTCATTTTGGCAATAAGTGGTTTACCTGAATTGTTTGTCATAGGAAAGAAAGACTTTGTCACCAATGCAAAGTAGAAAGGGTACTTACCTCCAGAAAACACCTTGAGACTGTGCACTGCTTGAAAAGCCGCTGCCCAGTTATGAGCATAAAGGTGTGCTATTACTCCAGGTTTGAGTGAGGCCTTGGCCTCTTAGACTGAAGGATAACAATTTCAGCAAATATACAGTGTGCCCCCCAAAAGGATATAGCGGAATTACCTTAAAGTGTGATTATGTGTAGTAACAGAGTTCTCCAAGAGTGGGCTCTCGGTCACGCTGCTTCCATACATGCCAGAATTTAGCCAAGCTGAGCGGGCTCGCCTCTTTTTCTTCTCTTGTTCCTTACGTTTTCCCGGCTTTGCTTTCTTTTTCTTCCCCGATACCTTCAGGGGCTGCTCCTTGTAGGTCTGTGATTTGTTTGTCTCCTGCGTTAGGTATCTGCCCTCATCTTCACTACCAAATCGGACAGGGTAGTTCTTCGTGTTAGTAGCAGGCTTAGGGTTAGGTGAAACCTCTGAAGTTGCACGGATTTCTGCAGTATTGACACCTTCAATTAAATTTTGAAGGAATATTCTTCTTCGTAAGTCTTGGATTGACTTGCCCTTGTCATGCAATAGCTGGTGCTCTGATACAGCACGTTTGCTGCAGAAAGAGAAGAGAGGAAGGGGGGAAAAATATTTAGGATTTGGTTATTGTCCAGTACTTGGCAAAGCTCCTCTCTCCTCTGGCAGCGATGGCCACAGCGACTGTGTACCAGCCCTCAGGCTTGGAGACATCCAGTTAAGTCAGACTACTGGAGCATATTCTGCTTCTCAGAGTAGCTGCTCCCTACAGAGAAGGGAAAGACCTAAGCGGGTAATAATTCTCAGCTGACCGATCACACACCACTGGACCTGCAGTTGGATTAGTCACTGCTCTCTTCTAGGAAAGCATTATAGCTCTTAATATATCACACTTCAGGCAGTAAAAACAGGAAGGCAGTTGTCAGAGATAGGAAAACTAAAGGGTCAGATAATGGAGCACTGCAGTCAAGCAAAAGAGGGAATAACAAGTACTTGTACTGCAGCCGGAAGCACTGTTTATACAGCATCATTCTAATAATTTTTTTCTGCTCAGTCATGTACTTCAAAACCATAAATACATAAAAGTGCATTTCATTTCTAAATTTAAATTAAGTGCAATTGCAGGAGCGTAATGGAAAAATGTTCAAATTCGGGTGCCTAAAACATAGGCACTTCAATCCATAATGAGCTATCCAGAGAGGCAGTCTGAGCATCAGCAGAGATGAGCCTCAGCCACTCCTGTTGATTTTACTGCTTGGCCACTTGTGTCTAATTATGGTTTTAGATGCCTTACTAGTTCCTTTAAGTGTGAACTTTTGGGGACGAATTTTTTGTCTGCTATGCTCTCTGAGTTTTGTGCTAGCCCTTTTCACTGGATCTTCTTCAACAGCATCCTGGAGTGGGTTTCCAGTGCTTTTCCAGAGTTTGTGACCTTTTGGTTCACTAACTTCTGTCTTGTTTTAGAGGAAATGGGAGATCATTAGCTAGCTATCTTTTAGAGATGTTGTACTGGCAAAGAAGGTATGAAATGTCAGAGGAAAGACGATACAAGTGGCACCTGCATAATAAATAACTGTGAGAAAATACGTGCTTTTTCCTTGATGTGGAATAGATGCACAGCTGCACTGTGAACACAGAAAGAGCGCAAGCTGGGATTTTAGCTATGTTCCCAAGAATGCTGGAATACAGTTTATCCTTCCAATTGCCCTACTTCAGTGTGCAGAGATAGGCTACACGTATCCTCTCATCTTGCATCAGGGTACTGCATGTGACTGGATTCTTACCGGCCAAAGAAAAAGAATTCACTGCCTTGCCCATCGTATACTCATTTGTTCAGTTAGCTGGATAAAAAGTTGTTTCTGCATATGGGTGAAATGGGAGAAGATACCTAACTGCGAGTGAATATTCCTTCCTTCCACCCCATCCCTAATTATCCTGCTACGCTACCAGGTTTCAAAATGTGGTAGACAAAGATAGCATGCTAAATGATTGGGAATATTCTGCCATTTATCTTTCTCAGTCCCTTCGACTGAAGTTTTGTGATTCCATCAATAGTAAAGCTATTTGAAATTGGCAACTTCAAGTAGCATTGGTTTAAGAGTACCCCATTTTTGTCTTTGCAGAGCTGCACTTTTGGACTATTGGGTTCAAGTGATACTACAATTCAGTCTAAAATTCAAACAGCAGCTTTCCCCCATTCCACAATGAGACTGAAAGATGACTGGTTTTTTTTTCATGAAGTCATACAATACGGATACTTTCTCAAAATCAGGCCTAGATATACTCGGGTTTGTGAGCACACATTTGACCAAACATTATCTATGTTTTAAGCATCCCACAATCAGTTTTGGATGACTTCAGGCTTTAGGGCAAATATTTTATGCCCTTCAACTCAATGTCCTTAAGCAAAAATGCAACGTGATAATACTGAGATGAACCCATATAGTTTCTCTCTCTTCAGCGCAGCTGTGACCATTGACGCAAGCTCAAGATCTCCCCCAGGAGAATTTTTTTGACCAGTGCACTCCCTGAAGCTCTTCAAGAGCCATCTCCAAAATCTTCTCATTAAGGTCAGTCTGATTTGCAGTGCACTAATGAAACTAGCACCCTGGACTCCTCTGAGTGGCATACTTCTATGCTGCTTGTCAAGCTGTCCATTGTGGCTCGCATTACATTCCTAGCTTTAGTAATCTATTTTCCCAGGATATTTGCATGGGAAATGCAGTTCTCCTTTCACTCTTCTAGTTTATAAAAAGCATTAAAAAATCTCAGTGCTTTACTGAGTCTAAAACAGTGTATCTCATGTGATGAGCAAAGCTTTCCTACCACCTCTTATAAACTACCAAGGATAATTGCTTTTATCAGAGACGACCTAAAGCTGCCTTAATCCTGTAATGTGTATTTGGTTAGTTTACCCACTGTGACAAAATCTTGACTCTCTAAAGCCTGTTATTAAAGTACTCTTGATTGAAAAGCCACCCCATTTTACAGAGCTGAAATCTAAAGATTTGATTCCAGTACACACAATGCAGTCAACGAGCATTACAAGATCTACATCTTGAGTGAGTATGCATTTCCAAAATAATGCAGGGGTTGAAGTGTGAGGGGTCAGTGTGCCAAAGAGGGTGGATTTCTGTTTAAATGTCTGTATGATATTTAGCATCAAGTCTGGTCCCAAATAACGTTCTGCTATTCCAGATGATTGTATAACATTATGTAGTGTTACATTTCACATGACTTTTATTACCCAGACAGACTTAAGGATTACATTTTGCCTACCAACTTCCTTTGCATGCTCTAGATCAAAAATCTCCTTAAAAAAAAAAAGATGTGGTAGACACATATCTCTTTGACCTTCTGCCTCCTTCTGCCTCAGTTATTCAAACAAATCTTATGTTTGTAAATCAGGGAAAAAAACACTTGCCCAAGAAGGCTGATGTAAGAAGTGCTTCATAATGGAGATATCAACAATATCTCACCCACACATACAGAGTAGGAAGGCAATAGAAACTGGAAAGATTGCATTCACATAGTGGGTTCAATAAGTAAAAAAAATATTAGGCTGTTAGGGTTAAGATGACCCACTAGAGGTCCCTTCCATCCTTCTATAAAACGCACCTCTCATTCAAGGAAAAAGAGTCTGTACCCAAATCAAGTGCAGTAAATGCTAAGCTTACATGTGGTAGGCACTTTTGAGAGAAGGATATTGACGGTTTGTATTTGACTGGAGTGTCCAAACTAATTACTGTTACCAAGTACACTGTGCACATACGAGACAATGTCTCATTATGGGGAAAACAGTAGAAATCCATGACTTGTGACTATCCTGACTTAATGTACTTCCAGATAAGCTGTTCCTTTCAAGCACATTCCTTCTTCATTTTTTCCTCTAGATATCTAGCGTCACTGAGAAGCAACATTCTTCAAGCGACAACTTTCTGTCTCAGAGTTGCTCTTATTTAATTGTTGTTATCCTTGACTATTCACGCTGGGTCTGATCGTAAGTTCAGCAAAATAGCTGGAAAGGATTCAGTCAGCTCTCTGTCTGGATTTTGCACGACTGAGTGCCCTTGCCACTGGCTCCAGAGGGAGTGAGAACTGCTCAACCTATCTCAGAGTTAGGAAAAATATTTTGAACAGATCTGGGGACAAGATGCTGCAGTGTCTGGGCACGCTGATAAAAATATCAAGTTTCACTTTGAGGCATTACTGGGTTTCTCAGAAGACCTTTAACAGCTAAAGCATTTCTATAACAAATAATATGTCTGGCAATCTTTTCTTGGGACAATTTTCTATTGCTTTCCATGGGAGATTTGCCTCAGTAAAGTCTGTAGAACCAGGCCTATGTCATTTTGATTATTTTCGCATGGCTATAATAATGTACTTCAGTATTTTCATCCGTTACTGGTTTAAGCCTTTGACTGAAAAAAAAAATCTCTACGCTTAAGTGAGTTATTAACCATTAACTCTAGGAATGGTTTGTGGTGACATTAAAACAGGAGACATGTTTGAGTGTGGTGTCTGTGTTTGTGCTGTACCCACAAACAAAACTACGTGAATGCCACTAACTGACAGCTAACTGGTTTCTTGTGTGTGTTTTACATGCCATAGCAAAGAGGGAGATGAGAAATGCATTTTGACTGTTTAGCTTCCACTTTTTTTCCTGCCTGTCAGGATGGAACAGGGATGTTGGGAAGACCTGTAATCCTGACCTTTAAAAACAAGTGTTAGAACAACATTAACTTCAAAATGAGAGCAAGTATTTCTTAGCAAATCTAACTTTTTTTTTTAAAAAAAAAACAACCAAAATTGGCTTAGATCCAGTTTAGAGTTTCATAGCCAAGAAAATAACAGCATTTGACTGATTTCAATTATTTTCTTTTTTCTTTTTTTCTTTTTTCTTTTTTTTTTTTATTTCTAAGGCTGAAGTTTGGTTCCTCTATATTCAAAGAGAAGAAAATGGAGTCAAATGACAGAAATAGCTCAGCAATAGTTTGCAGGAGTACAAAACAGCTAAGCATGAATGGACTGGGAAGAATAGACTGTAGCGTTATCAGCAATAACCTGTTCTACACAATTTGCTGTAGGAGATTTGTTACAGCTGTCTGCCTGGTGCCAAAGTTTAGGTGTGTCTGAAATCACTTCACCTGGGGGATTTTTTTGTTACTTAAATGGCAGAGGAAGTGCTATTTGGAGATCTTGTCCTTATGTATGTAATAAAACATTTACAAGGAAAGCCAATCTGAAATTGTTTGCTGTGTCATGTTTCCCTGTACGTTGTGATTGGATTTTCCAGTCCTCTTTCTCCAACCTGACTTCCTTTTCAACTTAGTAACAATACAGCCCTCCACAGTATGACTGAGGTGTTTCTTCCTTAGAAAATCTGATGCAAGTCCAGTGAAAGCCAGTGAGTTAGATGTGTGAGACAGCTGCTCCTACATCAGCCCAGTGGCTTCTCTTCTGCACTTTGCGTAGGGGTATTCGTATAAACCATGCTGATTATTTTGGAAGGAGCAAAAAGGTCATTTCCTGAACAGACTCTCTTAAGTTACATTATCATTTATCAAAAAACACACTTCTGCCTCCAAGTCAGATACTGGACTCCCTTTAGAATTTTTTTTTTTTTTATTTTTTTTTTTTTTGCTGAAGTGGCAGAAATCCCAAGAAATTGTTCAGTACTTCAGTTTTATAATGGCCCTCACTGCTGCGTGTTTCCCCTGCCCTTATCAATATTGGCTCCATGCCAGTGCCGAAGAAGTATATTTTATTTAATGTAACACACGGCAGTTTGATGAAACGGGATGCTCCCCGCTAGGACCCTCCCAGGGCGCAGAAAGGTGCACGGGCAATAGCACATGCTGGACAAGCACACCGCTGCATTGCTGCTCCCCTCGGGAGAAGAGACCCTCACCTTTAGCATCTCCTTCCCAAAAGCTATATAAGGTCAGCCAGCTGCTAAGCACCCTTTCCCTGCCCCAAACGGCCTCTGCCTTTGGCTTAGACCCCCGCAGTGAGCACCTGAGGCAGGTAACCGGGCGCCGCTTCGCTGCAGAGCCACCCCGGCAGGGCTA